AATGTATGCTTGTTTGTAATTAAGCACAAAGCTACACAATATGCTATCTGTGCTCTGCCCACCACGGGTATCGAAACCAGTCTACTGTGTCACTGGGGGGCATAAAGGTATGTAAAATATATATATTTTATAAAACAGCTTTGGTAGCACTCGTACGAGAGGATGTTATATAACTTTTATATTGCGTCTACAAATTTCCCGTAAATTTTTCATACGGATTTTCCTTGTGTATAGTGAAATTTTTTTGTTGTCATTCTATACTTAGGGGATTTCATTCATGCTTACAGCGATAATATCAAAAGTTTTCAAAAGTTTTTACTACGGCTGTAAAGAGCAACTTGAATCGAAACATGGTGGTAGAATTACAGCCTTGGCGGATGTGACGTAATATATTTTCGTACGTATAGTTAAGTTGTCACACCCACATATGACACCAAACAGACTATACTTTCGGGCACAGAACTGTAAGATGAAAAATCTGTTTTGTAATGCAAGCATAAACTTGTGACACTTTAATATTCTTGATCAGCCCCAAACCTAAGCTACTTCAGCAGGAAGAATAAGTAAATACAAAATAGGAAAACTACTTCCAAACCATTAACACTTGCATCAGCTACTTCTGTTTGTTTGTTTTCAATTATGCACAAAGCTATACAAGGGCTATCTTTGCTCTGCCCATCACGGGTATCGAAACCCGGTTTCTAGCGTTGTAAGTCCGCAGACATACCGCTGTGCCACTGGGGGGCCAGCTACTTATGATAAAATTTATTAGAATATAGAAACATAGGAGCCTAACCAGGGGGCAGAAGGAAGCACGTTCCTCCCAACTCTGAATACTTTGTTTTTTAATTAAAAAAAGTATCTTCTCGTCTCGCTCTCCAGCAATTCCTATTCCTTACGCCACCTCCCCACATTAAAAACATAAACAGGCGCTCATGTATGAAAAATGATATTTTCGTAACACTCAATAGATTTTTGTAAATTATATTACCATGATGTAAGCTAAAACAAAAAATGCAAGTTATGCTTTTCTTTCTTCTTTTTTTTTGTGTGTGTAAGTTAATTTTAAGAGTCTGATGGCCTCATTTGCGAAATGCATTCTTAAAACTATACATAATTAAGGCAGGTTGGATTGATAAGAAAAAACAAACAAACTTTTGTTTGAATTGTCTGTAACTCTTATAAACGTTGGTCAAGTCTGTGGAAATGTTCAAGTTTATTGAACTAAACGTTTGTAAGTGTTTCTTATTGTAATTTTATTTCAACACCTCATGTTTTAATTTTCGCGGGAAATTCCCAAGAGGAACTATTGACGATTCAAAGTATTTGCTGATCTTAGGGTATGAGCGCGAGACTCGAGTTTAGCGCCAATAACAATTGCTCATTATCTTCTCGGTTGTGCTAGCCAATACGAATAGTGAAGAATGGTAAGCAAATGTAACGGTATGGAAATTTACAAAACTGAAAACAATGATGATACAGCAGATCATACATACAACCAACTAACAATACTAATCAAATAACTTATGGCAACTTGATCTCACCTTCTATTTCAAGATAGAGCTTCCCCTACTATAGAACAAATAATTTTTTCCATGATCATACAATAATCATCCTTACCCTAATTACAACCCTAGTAGTATACATAATAATAATAAACACCATATATAACTCTTTTACTAATCGAGTTCTTTTAGAAGGTCAAGAAATTGAGACATTCTGAACCATCATCCCAGCACTTATATTAATTTTCATTGCCCTACCCTCTCTCCGGCTATTATATCTTATAGATGAAATTAACAATTAATCCGAGATTTTAACGCTGTTAGCCCATAAACTTATCGCTGACCTAAGAGTTGACCTCAGATAATTGTTTGTGAGTGACTAAAATGTTTCTTTTTTCACTAATAAAAAATATTTCATACAGAGTCCAAATTATTTTATTTACATATATCGATTTTGAGTAATTATTCCATGGGTTTAAAGTAGTTTAATTGAAAAATATATTTTCAAAATTTAAATTTATTACTTCATACAGAATTTGAATGAAGAATATTAATTCGAAAAAAAAAAGGCACATGATTGTGTGACTTTTCCGAATTTATCAGGATTTGGCGGTTTCTTCTGGAAAAATTTTCTGATATTTTTAAATCAGTAAGTAAATTAGCTGACCTGTTCTTTTGGGTTTATCAAAGAATTAATTATCTATAACCGTAAAAATACCATTCTGAATCAGTTAGGTCCACAAGTAAATCTGCTAATTACTATACAACTTTAAAGAATGAGTTTTATTTTGCCTCTTTGAACCAACATTCTGTATAACCTTAGAAACACTAAATTGGATTAACTTTTATCACCAATAAATCTACTAACTTCTGTATAACCGTAAGACGTACCTTACTGGATCCATCTAACTAACCATCACTCAATATTCTAACATCTATGTAGCCTTTGAACCACTCCACAGGATTCTTCTGGATCAATGAATCTTCTAACATGTATATAACTTAACAGATACTGAACTTGGTCTTCAGGTTCGATCCCTAGAAAATTAACCAAGTTTCATATAACCCGAAACACATTATACTAGGGCCTTTGGGATCACCAATAAACTAACGAAATTTCATATTATCTTAGATATACTATAGCAACTATACGGACTCCCCTAGAATCATCTTAAATGTATTTCCTTCTATAAACATATACTGTATTAAACTTGTTATGATCATCAGTAAATCTACTTTTTTCTAAATGTAACTTGAGATGAAAGCAGTTGGTCTATTAGGATCATCAACGAATCAGTGAAGATGCATAAAACCTTAGATAACACTTTACTGGGTCTAAGACCACCACAAAATCAGTGAACATGCATAAAACCTTAGATAACACTTTACTGGGTCTAAGACCACCACAAAATCAGTGAACATGTATAAAACCTTAGATAACACTTTACTGGGTCTAAGACCAACACAAAATCAGTGAACATGTATAAAACCTTAGATAACACTTTACTGGGTCTAAGACCACCACAAAATGTACTTTTACACATGCTGACATTTCAAGTACCTGCTGAGTACTTTGGTCAATAGTAAATGTTGGTTCCTAACTTTACAGTAATGTAATGAATATAAACAAAAACAAACGAACTAGTGACTCTCTTTTAAATATTCTTGTAGAGTTGAAGTTTAGATAGTAAAGTTCTTCTTCGATAGTCTTTAGTCCCAGCATTCTTGAATTTATTTTACTTTATGTGTATGTACTGCATACATTTAATATTTACTTCATCCAATATATATTTATATATATTATCATTAACACATACTTTTTTGTTGACATACTAAGAAATTGTTTTTTGTATAATTATAGACTTTGCAAAAACCAAAGATGTTCAAATACATGGGCTTATCACCACCATTTTAAATCTAACTTTAAAAATCTTGAGCAAGAAATGTAGACTAGGTTCTCTACAGAAATATTACGTAATATCTGTTAAGAGTTTAATGTGAGGCACAGGATACTGGTTTATTTTCAAGTGCAAAATATTTGAGGAAAATATTCAATAATGTTTGTTTATAAAAAAAAATACTTCTCTTTGTTCATAAATGGTTGGCGTAACTTTACTTCAAAGTTATTTCAATAACCATCATCTTAACACAGATATTAATGAAAGATAGGAGTGTTTGTAAATATATATGTAATTTAACACAATGTCTTTGAAATAAATTAAACGTATGTCTTGTTCAATAAACAATTTAATTATCATTCCAGAGATTCTTAAGCCTAGTTTATAACAGAGTATGTTTTATATATCAATGCATTTGTTTAAAAAATTCACACCATATTTTAGAGATAATATTATATTTAGTTATGATGAAATTCACTGTAAATAAAGCACCATGCTTCCCATGGTATATCACAGATATAACTGTGAGGATGTTACAGGAAGTAATAAAACACAAACAAAGCATTTGTTATGTATTACTTATAAAAAGTAAATGCATTACAATTAACTTATTCTGAAAATGAATTTTAGAAAAAATCCAACAACAAGAACAAAAAAACATTATCTAAGGAATGTTCCAATATATAAAACTGACAAATGATTATCTGATTAAATTTTTGTTATCCCAGTTTAATGCTCTAAGTTGAGTTCAAGTATAAATACAATTATAAATGTGACTTTCAATATTACAGCCATATACTGGCATTCATTTGTGGATGAGAGTACGGTATTTTTTTAATATATTCAAGATGAATTTAACAAATTTCATAGATAGTAAGATTTGGAAAGATAGAAAACATCAACCCTAGAAACACGCAGAAATAAAAAGCACACACATTTTTCTCCACATTAATAACAATTTTTATTGTAATAATGGAGGGTAAATTAATTAATCTACATTCCAACATTTGTATAGTGGATTACATAACAATTAATTTTCTGTAACTTTCTTGCAGTACCTGAAAATGTGTTGTTTATTTATTTATATAGGAATGATGCATGCAAGGCTACCTATTTTAGATCCTGTACCCCCCCCCCCTTTATTTTCAGATTCCAACTAATATAAAAAACCTATGATAAGTACATATCAAAAACTAAAATAAAAGCCAAATAAGTCTAAATATAACAATAATAAAAGTTGCTCAGATATAAAGGTTTCTAATGTCTTAATATTAATAACAATAATAAAACATCTGGGAAAACTAAATTTGTGTAAATGTTTTATAATATTGTGCTTTCATATGACTTATTAATTAATGTTTAATAATGTGTAATAGTAGTGATTCATTTTTGGTTACCTTTTCCAATATCTGTTACCTATCCCCCACAGTGCACATGTTACCACTGGAACTGACTGCATATCATAAAATCTGATCTTTTTTCCTAAGTCGAATTGAAAAATATCCAAGTTGAAGATAAAATTATGTTCAGTATAAGAGCTAGTTAAAATGTGATATTTTCTGTCATGTTCTTAGTAAACCAGAAATTCACACAAGTGTACTGATGACTAAGAACCTGAGATCTTTGGATATTTTATTGATAATCACTAGTTACATGTACACACTTAATAAAGCTTAACTCTGTACACAGGCATGTTATAACAGAAACAGACACCAAGTTCAGTATTATAATAAAATGTGAAAAAATTTAAGTAGCAAGCCAAATGTTAAAAAAATGTCAACAACAATTACCTGGGAAAAAACCCATTCACCAAACTTAGCAGCTCACTAATATAAAACCATCACTTAATACTTGTTTTCAAAATATGGAATGTTGGAAAATAGTAATAAAAATTAAACAACATTTTATGAATAAAGACAAAATAAAAGTAATGTTCAATATTAAAAGCAAAAAAAGAAATAACATCTCATATCTAATAATCTTGATTTATAATCTATTATGATTTATAAACATCATGTTCGCTGACTAGCCTGTCATTACTCCAAGCCGAACTTTTTCTTTCAAAATGGGGAGTGTATATCAAGAACACATAATTATTTCCCAGTTTCTTTTACACACAGTTTAAAGTATCTTAGTAGGATCATTGGTTTTTTTTATATATAGATTAAAATTTATATGTCTTAATTATACCATCCAAACAATTGATTTGCCTTTAACTAAATGTATAACAAGTTAAAAAGAACAACTAATAGAAAAAGGAAAGTGTTTGTTGGCATAGATGCCACACGCAACACTTATTTCTCTAAGCCAACAATGTTATCTGACTGCTGCTGAAGGTTGGAGAACAATACAGACAGAAGGCTATCAGACCTTCAGTTGGAAAAAACATTTGTATAGTCTGTGATTCAGAGAAGAAACAACAACATTTATACCCAGGAGTCTTCTTGTTGATCCCCCTGAACTGGTAGCTCAACTTGTTGGAGGTTTTCCCTTGGAAGTTGAGCATAAGATTGTTCTGCCAAGGGCTGTGAAACAATAAAAATTATAGTTAAAATTTTCAAGTCCACAGAAACTTATGACCAATTTCTTTTTCCAATAGCACTTTCATCCTGTATATCACTGGTAATATATCATTCAATGCTTGAAAGACTAAAATAAAATCATATCTCTACTAAATTAATCAAAGAACAGAATAAAACTAAGTGAATGTTTTTCTATTATACTGGTATTTTGGTAGTCTCATACTATATTCCTATGGTCTGTTGCAAATAAAAAATAAACAAAATGTGTATTCACATATATGTTGTTGTAAGTCTGTGATAACTTGTATACTGCATCTGTAACTAAGTATTCATAGCATCAGAGTAAAATAAGTCAGAATAGAGATTGTTAATGAGATAGAATATAAAAGTTTCAAAGGAAACACCCACCAAAAGAGTAAAATCAGAGGCCTAGCAAGTTCAAAAGCCCTGGGGTGGAGGCTAAACAGGAACAGAAAATATTTTTTACAAAATTTCAAGTGATTCCTTTTAATAAAATGTTTTTGAAACCTAAAGAAGCTCATAGTTTGTATGTTATGACCATATTAAGTTAATGTTTGGAAACCTGTTTACTGGAATACATATAAGGTGCAAAAGCAGGTTAGTTTTTTTTGCAAACCCACTTTTTCTGAATCTGAAAGACCACATGGTAATTTTGCTATTTAATTTTCTGATAAAAATAAGAAGTAATCTTTTGTTCATTACACAACATACATATAACCTGTTTATCAGAATCATGAGAATAAATTTTAAATACACTTGTTTGGCTCCAATATCTAAGTTTCCTAATGATTCATTATAGCTTATAATTATCAATAAATTAAAAAATATATATATATATATAATTACTACAATTACAAAAGGTGGGTAAAGTTTCTCATGCATTACTAACTCATGAAGAAAGAGATGTATAAAATTTTATATTTGTAACAAAACTCTACTTAAGGAATATGAATCTATCATCTGAAGTCCTTGAAACTACATTCTGGCATGTGCATGCACAACTTCAATTTTTTATTCAGTAAAGTGTGAGTAATAAAAAATTTATAAAAACAAAACTGAAAAATAAAGTCCATAAACATGCAACATGTACAGATATACGCAGTTTCGAGGACTTACTGGCACTGGTGGAAAGATTAACACGCCTCCTACCGGTGGTCTATGAGGTGGTGGTGGTGGCTCCATATCTTCTCGAACATCATTTAAAGGAAGTTCCTCTGACTAACAAAATAAATTTCAGTACTGTACAAGGTTCATAAAATTCTACTGTCAATATTTATTAAATTAAGTCAAGACTATTCTTCTAAGTTATTATGAATCCACATCAATTATTAACTAATCAAGCCATTACCTGTAAATACTATTATAATTTGTTTTAAGATGGTATATATTTGTTTGTACAGCATGAAACACCTCTGATGCTCACTGACAATGTCTATTTCTTTATTGAAATATGCAACATCAAACTTGATTGAAAGTATTATAATAAGAACTATTTTCTAAATGTCACACTGTTTTATAAGGATTATGTATGAAACCATCAAATTGATTTCTGGTATTATCTTTGTACTGATTTGTCAAACTGTTTTCAGGAACAAGATTTTATTTGCCAGAAATGATTTAAAACTATATACTGAATCTGCAAATTAATGGCCAAAATAAAATTAAAGGTATATTCTAGTAGAAATTGTGTATAACTTACCCGACTACGTGGCACACCATCTAAAAAATAATAAATAGCATTGAATTAGAACAAAAATTTTACAAAGTACTGTTAGAAGATAAAGTGTGTTCAAATGAATACAATAAATGTATAAGCAACAGTTAAAGAAGTTATCTTGAACTTAGGTTTCAGTTTCTGATCCTATGTTTAAAGTGTTCTTACAAGAAACAAATAAAGGTTAGAGAACAAATCAAATTTTAAAAGCTTTAGTACTCACAGTGAAAGTTTTCTTTTGTATGTATGTGTATTTGTGTTGAAAAAAATATTCACATAAAATATATTGGAGATAAGTTAACTATTGACATTTATATACTGGTACTGAATAATTAAAAAATAAACATTAGCTGTTTGAGGATTAAATACAAATGGAGATCCTTCCATACAGTTTTAGCCTCAGCAAACGTTACCTCCAGCAGAAGAGTTAGGATCTGGGCCCCGACGAGGTAGTGTCCTGTCTTCGTATTTTGTTGCACCCTGTGTACTGATTGGTCGATGAAGTGTACTGTTAGCACTAGTAGGAGTAGAAGCAGCATTTCGAGCCACCATTGTGCGTGTAATAAAATGAGATTCTTTCCAGCCAGCTTTTCTACACACTTCACGAAGATCTTGATGCTGCCACATATTGTACAACAACTACAACAGACAACATATATATTTTGTGAGTATATTTCCGGTAACCTCTTTACTGGTATTCATCTACTGAGAAGGAAATATTACCAATTCAATATTTGTATATTAATTATAAGAGCTCTATACAGTGCATAAATTACATAGCATTGAACTTAAAATATTCATAGATTTTTAAGTGATTCAAACGTGATCTATATAAACAAGGTAATAAATTAAAAAACTAGTGAAGTACACTCAACTCTATTACAAAAAAGTGTAGATCTAATAAAAACATAAGTAATTCAATAGTTTAATTACATTTATTGCAACTAACCTGTGCTGTGAACTTCACCACTCGTGGAGAAAACCTGCCTTTCTGTTTAGCTATGTATGTCAACCTGTCCACTCCACCAGCTTCAAGAAGAGATCTGGCAAAGTCACTGTTCTTAATGATGACTTCATTCAGAGTAGCCAGCACAGCTGCTATAGTCTCATCTGAGGAACCTCCTCCCTCTTGCTGAGGACCACTGCTGGGAAGCTTCTGTACTAAGTCCCTCATGGCATACTTCCCTACACAAAACAACATGTTAGGATGCTTCTATTATTACACCAAAGTTGTGGTTACTAGTAGTGCATATGACACACACTAAGTCCCTCATGGCATACTTCCCTACACAAAACAACATGTTAGGATACTTCTATTATTACATCACAGTTGTGGTACATATGATACACACAATTAAACTTGAGTAATTCAGTAATGTAAAACACTAAATATTTTTCAAAACTTAAAATATTTATATAAATATTACTCAGGCAACAAATAGGATACCCACACCTTCAATTTGTTTATTAAAATGTGCTTTTGGATTTAACAGTGGAACCAGTAACCAGTACCATGTCACTGCAAGAAGGTCCTCAGAGAAATTAAACTTATTCTCAGAGCATTTATGCACTAACCTGATGATGGTTCCACTATTTAATAGTGTTGGACCTTTTAAAAGAGAGGTGTTTCTTTATACAAGGAACAAACTGCATTCTGTTGGGATTGAAGATGTAAAAAAATGGTAGTAAAGAAGCTGAATCTATATGGGTTACAGTCAGGAGTTTTGAAGGTTAAAGATATCTAGTTGACAATTGTTATAGACCACCTGATCAAATACTTTTGGAGACCTTAATCTTAGACATGAGGAATGGGATTGTATGGAATCAAATAATGAGGGAGAGAGATTTATTTAAGTGATTTAGAGTGGTTTTCAATAACAAACAGTACGACAGCCAACTAAGAGGGGGATACCATTTTATATTTACGGTTAACCAAAAATGAGAATATGGTTGCAAGAGATAAAGTGGGAAATATTTGGGAAGAATGGTCATTGTATAATTAGGTGTGATGTTTTGATACATGATAAGATTAACAAAAATGAAATTTTAGTTACAAATTTTCAAAAAACTAATTTTTGAAACCAAAAATGAATTGGGATAGAGTTAAATGAGGATCTATTACATATTTTGGGAATTGTAAAAAAATAAATTAATTCTAGTTTAAGACAAGCATGCTCCTAAACAGAAAAAAACAATAACAGAGATGATCAAACTTAACTGGCTTACTAAAGACACAAAGGAAAAAATTAGGGATATGCCAAACGTTTAAGAAGTTTAAACTGACAGATAAGTTGGAAGAATTAAAGAACTATAGAACAGTTAGGAATTTGGTTAAAAAATAAATTAGGACTTCAAAAAAGGGATTATGATAAACAGCTGGCTCATAATGTTAAATTTAACAGCAAGGCTTTTACTTTTTAAGTATGTTAAAAGTAAGCAAAATGTTAAAATGAGAGTTGGGTCCTTAAATGATGCTGTTGGCAAGGTTTTTGTTGAAGATGATGAAGTGTTTAAGCTTTTAAATGTTCTCTTCTTCTTTTAAAAGAAAAGATATTAGCAATATCCCTGACCCTGAACATTTTATAGGAAGTATTTCAGTTTACGTGAAACATGTAGGTATTAGTCCTTTAGTTGTAAGTAGAAAGATTGAGAAATTAAAAATAAATAAAGCACCATGACCAGAAAAGGTTTTCCTCAAGGGCTTTAAAGGAGGTCAAAGATTAGATGTGTAAGACTATTTATTTTTTCATAGATCAATAGATAATACGCAGGTGCCTGAGGAATGGTGAGTTTGTAATTTTACCCTTATGTTTAAAGTGGGAAATAAGAGAGGCCTGGGAAATTATAGACCAGCTAGTTATTAGTCTTAATTCTGTAGTGGTAAAGAGCCTCATAAAATTCAACATTTTCCTAACCTGAAAATGTATTTCCGAAAGATACTTATCTTTCTTCTCACAAAATAGCTTTCCTCAATTAGTACTGCCCTCTATTGGCACAAATTTTCAATGCTCGCCACTAGCCTTCCACTTCTGCATATCTACATGTAAATGATTATGCAGCAGCTCTCCATCAATAGGAGTGTGACACAAACCCTATCATAACCAGCACCCTCTCTATACTTGCATTCGTTAATCACTTCGAGATTGGACAGAAGATCTACACCAGATATCACCGGAAGTGGAGAAGTTGGATGGAAAATGTGAAAAGAGGTAAGTCTCTATCAGAAATATATTTTCAGGTTAGGAAAATGTTAATTTCAGATATGTTATCTTACCTCCTCTCACAAAATAGCTAGAATCCCACATTGAACTGGTGGAGGGCTGGTGAAAAAAATTATCCCCCCCTTTAGGAAGCACCCACGAAGAGATCATGAGGTGTGAAACGAAAAGAAAATATCACACTTCAGCAGGAGACCAAACTACATCTGATCCAGATATATTCTTCACCCTTTTATGACTGTGTAACGAACATAAAAGGCAGAAAAACATGAAGGAATCCCATAATACATATTACCAATCAGTGGGACCCCTGGGGGTTGAGTGGCTAGGGTGCAAAATACCATAGTGGTAGTTCAACCTCAACTAACAGCTGGCAGTATCTGGAATTGTATATCAGTATTGCAGTCAGTAGAGGATCACCTACTTCTTCACCTCTGAACAGGAAGTGGTAGGGAAGATGAGCATCTGTACCAAAATCCATCTTCACTTGCATGCATTTCCAACCCAACCACTACATGATCCTCCAGGAACTGACATCCAGTGGATGGTAGGAAGGTGGAAAATCCTGGTAGGATGAAATCTCTGGTCCAAAACCTAGTGGCATTAGGAATGGTTCTTCCAGTCCGCAGTAGGAGAAGGATACCTGGCTATACACAAGGTAGAATACATGTGCTGCATCCAGTTACAACCAAAACCAGATCTGTCAGGAACTGACATCCAGCAGATGTTAGGAAGAGGGACTGCAAACCTAGAGTGCATCTCCAGTCCAAACTTGGAGGTATTAGGCATTTTTCATCTAGTACATGGTAGGAGGAGGGATACCAGCCAGAACACGTGAGGACTTATTTAGCTGGACCATCTCCAACCACCAGACCCTCAGAAGCTACATACAAAGGATGATAGGGAGGAGGAACGACACAGTTTGAGGGGCAAACTACAATACATATAGTCATACCATAGCATAGTGCTTGAAACAAAACCTGGCAGCATCTGGAATTCAAGATCAGATCTGCAGTAGGAAGTGCTGTACGCCATTGACACCTGCAGAATGCTACCAACCTACTCTCAACTAAGTGGTATGATGCATCACTCAGGAGGACAGGACTCCATGGTCCACCACCCCAGCAGCTAGGTAAGGGGCAAGGACTCCCATGCTCCACTAGAAGAAAGGAAGGAAAAACCTGTTGGAGAGTCCAGAGGACCTCACCACCAGAGACAGTGCAATGGGTGACTGTGATACCCTATTTTGAAAAGCAGAGCTACAACATTGATGGAGTTGATCAACAAACACCTGGTAGCATCTGAAATTGTACATCAGGTCTGTGGTAAGACACACAGAACATCAGAGATGGGCAGCAATCCCTGTCTGCTTTACTCATGTATGTACATGAGTGTATGGTCTGGGATGAACATATTTATGAAGTAAACGACCAGGAGATAGAACTACTAGCAGTCCTATGGAATACCTCATCTCTACGGTGTGCATAACCGAATCCTGTGACATAACTGGTTCAGTGTAGATGACAACTGAATGGAGACACACAACCAACACCTGGCAGCATCTGGAATTATACATCAAAAGAGCTACAACATAATTGACATTGAGCATGGCCACATGATGGACAGTGCAGATTAAAAAAAAAGCATACCAGGTCAGGCACCATTTGCCACAGAGAGGGATCCACAATACACTAGCAAAAAGGCCCCTAAAAAAGTAAGAAAAGTTGGAAAAAGCAATGTTTCACAATTCACAAATGTGAAAAATTAAAGAAGTGGTAACAAAAACTAAATCTGTAGTATAAGAAAAACGTTGACAAATTTGTGAGCAAAAACAAGCATGTCTGTTCAGTATTACTGCCATTCGAGAAGTGATTAATGAGTGCAAATGTGGAGAGGGCACTGTTTATGATAGGGGTTGTGTCACATTCTTATTAGTGGAGAGCTTCTGCATAATCATTTACATGTAGAAATGCTGAAGTAGAAAGTGGTAGGCTAGTGGCATACATTGAAAATTTGTGCTGACAGTGAGCAATACTAATTGAGAAAAGCTATTTTGTGAGAGGAGGTAAGATATTGTATAGGAATGAGCTTTACAAAATCATTTACACAAACATGATATCAAAACAGAAGTTCAACATGGATTCACAAAAGGGAGATATGGCCTTACTAATCTGTTATATCTTTGAAGAATTCTATCAGTTAGCTGGACAAAGGAAAGGGTGTGAATTTGTTGTAGTTGGACTTTCAAAATTCTTTTAATAAGATGACACACACAAAAGATTACCTTAGAAAGTCGCATAAGTAAGGGTAGGGGAAACACTAGCAAGTTGGATGGTGGGATGGAAGAAAGCAGAATGTTTTTATTAATGAAAAAATCAAGTTGGACCCTTGTTACTAGAGGAGTGTCTCAGGGGTTAGTATATAGGCCTTTGCTCAATTCTATTTACATTAATGATATTGATAAGGCTATAATTAGTAAAGTTAGCTAATGGCATTAAATTCTTTGGTATGTATAGCTATATTGAGATCGCTGAGGTATTATAAAATGGTTTAGGTAATTAGTAAGTTGGACAAATATTTGACAAATTACCTTTGATTATAGTAAGTGCTAGATAATGTATCTGTGTTATCATATTTTTGGATTACACCTTAAATATAGATGGAAACACAATAATATGACTGAAAAAACTGATCTTGGCATTGTGGAAATAAGTCAGTGAAAGCTGTGTTCTGTTGACAACAATCAGGGCTGTACTGTGGGTAGTGTGAGCAGTGCTTTCACACAGGGCACCAACTTGAAGGGGGCAGCGATTGCCCACTTGACTAAAAAAGCAAACTAATGGGTTAAGGGGTGATGAAATTATGTGTTAAACAAATATCAACACAGCACTGTCACTAATAAATCTAATATAATTTTAGTATGTATTTACAGACATGCTGGTAACAAGTTAAACCAGGTAATTATCTCTATACTAGTCCTCACTTGGAATACTGTGTACCACTTTGGTCCCCTTATCTAAAAAAAGGATATTAGCTTATTAGAAAGGATTCAGAGGAGGGCTGCTTAGATGATTCCAGGGATGGAATGGTTATCTTATCTTTTGTTTTCTCTTGAGTTAAGAAGGGTAAAATATGATCTTACTGAAATTTACAAGATTATTCAGAGGATTGATAGGATAAAGGCATGTGATATCTTTGTGCTATATTCTGAAGATAATAGAGTAATAGGACACAAGTTTAAGATTTGCAAAAGATGGGCTAGGTTCGACTTAAGACTGACTTATTTTCCAAATATGGTTTAGTTTGATTATTGTTAAAAACAAAGCTACACAATGGGGTATCTGTGTTGTGCACCATAGGTATCAAAACCTTGATTTTTAGCACTGAGCCACTGGGTGGCTTTCAAATATGGTAATTTGCTTATGAGCTGCTACTTGCAGTAGTGGAGAATGGCACTTAACCTGTTAAGTTTAAGAGGGGGAAATCAATGATTTTCTGAAATATAAAGTTTAAATTTTTACTATTCTCAAGGGTGGGGTGCACATGGTCAGCCCTAAAGGACTAAATGCTCCCTTGTTGTCCACATGTTACATTATTGGTTAAGTAATGCAAAAAATGTTTTGAGAGTGTTTGTGAATTAAATTTTCAGAAAAGTAACAGAATCTTTTAAAGAAATCATTTTTCAAGCAAAACAGTCTGTCATAGACATCTTGAAGAATCAACAGCTCAAAAATTTCATAACAACATCATATTGATTTTTTGGATGCAAACACACTTATACACACACACACACACACACACACACACACACACACACACAATATATATATATATAGATACACAAGTGTTTACTTAATTTCTAGGTTTTCTGAAGCACGAAAGATCTCTGTAGTAACTTTCTGATAGTTTGAATTTACTGCCATCAAGAGGGGGATATATTTGAAACCTAATAATTATTTCTTTTACAGGAGTATGTTTATAGATTTTATTATTTAGTATTCTACCAAGATAAAGTGATACAATATGTAGTAAATCTAAGAAATGATTTTTTATTACCAATTATTATTTTAGTCAGGTATTAGAAACACTGTTATTGATCACATGCAAAAACAAAATCACAATATTTTAATCTAGAATTTATTTTAAACTTCTGAAGTACACAATATCAAATTTCTATGAAACAAATCTGAGTATTTTGTATCATTTCCAATTACAAACAATTTCAAAAAGGTACAAATTATTGCAATTTCTTTTCCTTGCATAATTCCTTAACAGATATCTCTACCTATGAGTTCTTTGTTCCTCTGATCCATGGACAGATTTCTTAATGCAGTAGCAACTGCACACACTACTCTGTCAACATCCATTCTAAGCAGTTCCACCAACACTGGGAGACCCTTTTCTTTCCTCACTGCAGCACGGATATCTAAACTAGGCTTTATAAAATATCATAATTCAGCCACTATCACTTTGACAGCCTTTTCACTTATATGATATATAATAAAGTTCAATAATATGCTATCAAATATGATAATCAAGTAGTCATTTCCACTGACAGTAGTTTCCTTCTGTTTCAAAAGCAGGATGAGTACTTACCTCTTAAAAAACCCAGGTTGGATTTGATCTATACAGATCTGGAACATGCTTGACTGATGTGGAATACCTTTGGCAGATCTGGATCTATTTATACCAGATCTGGCCATTATTTATGCTATATCTGTAACAACGATTTTCATAGGTTTACTTGGTTGCTTTTCTTTTTTTAATGTTTATATATTAACATTTATGTTGTTCTATCATTAAGAACATAAAAGACTGTAAAAAGTATAATTTACAAATAGCAATTATAAAACTAAATTACTTCAACTGAATCAAATTTATATTAAAAGATTGATGTGCAAGATCATGTAAAATTGGTACGTGCACATTTAAATTCATTGTTATTGCAGTGTGGTATTTAAAGTCTTTCAAGAACATTTTTTTGTAAAATAAAGTTCTAAACAATGATCAATTTCTAACTTGTTTTACACATGAAATTTCTTACTAACAACCTAGGCCAAGTCATGTTGTAGAAACAGATCAACTAGAATACTTCTCAGGGTGAATAAACACATGGTTGTACAGGTCACAAGTTATGAGTGAGAAGTGTAATGGTATGCCATTATTTGGATAGATATATATATTTGTGTAACAATATGTTGTTGTTAAGTTTGAGTGTAAAATTACTATTGTCCAAAAAATTTTTGTGTATGATTAGATCACTAGTTTGCATAAAAATAAATATTTTTTATTTTGTGGTCAGCAGACCTAGCACTTATCTCAGGTATATTTTGCACATTTGGCCAGACTTGACATTCTTCCAGATTTAGCATATTTTCCAGAGCAAGTTACCACATCTGTGAGTTTTCTAGGTCTTACTAGATATATCCAATTCCCTACTTAAACAGTTGTTTTCAAATACATAACGAAATCAATATACACTCTGACAGCAGTTTCACTGCAAAAGGCTTACAGTATATATTTTAGCCATTATTATTTACTCTGATTCTAATTTAAATTACGTTCTTACAGTAAAATAAAAATATTCAGGCATGCCATAAAATACAAATCTAACAATTGAGTCACAAGTAGGTTTCAATTTGGTGGTGTTGCACACTACTCCTAACATGAGATACTTTTATAACATAAATAAACAATCAAGACTTGAAATAAAACAAATTACATTGAATATCATGTACAACAACAACAAGAATGTAAGGACAACTAACTGAGCAGTAACTAGTTAGGTTAAAATTTTAACCAGTCACCAATAATGAGAAAGATTAACAGCAGGAACATGAAAATGTGGTTTTCTTAAGCTACTAAGACTATGATTAAAGCATAGATTAGACATCTATCAACTGTTCTGCTTCGAAACAAATTACTTTTATTAAAAATTCAAAATGCAAGAACAGTTAATAATGATTGCAAAAACTACTTCTGTGTATGGCTGTTTCTCTGTAGGGTTACAGTAATAAAAGGCAGCTAACACAATATCACCAGACAATCCGCTAAGTGATTAAGCACTTTACAATCAACAGACTGATTATTAGCAAGAACTAATTTTGCAGCCTGAGTCTCAAATGATAAGCTAGATTAACACTAAAAACTAAAATGCCAGCATAAAAAGGAGCCAGGTTTTCAAATACTAGATTAACACAAGAAATTAACCAGCTAGTATACCAAGCAGCCAGGTTTTCAAATAATAAACTAGATTAATACTAAAAATTACCATGCAAGTGCTAAGCATAAACTAGGTTAATATTAGAAATTATCCTTCCAGAGCCAAGAAGCCAGGTTTTCAAATAACAAACTATATTAACATTAGATGCTAACCTGCCAGTACCAAACAGCCAAGGTTTCAATTAATAGCCTAGGTTAACACTTGTAGCTATCCTGCAGATAGTGCAAGCAGACATGGTTTCAAACTAGGTTTGCAGTAGAACTCACCTGCCAATAACAAGCAGCCAAATTTTGAATGGCACCTGCTGCTGCCTCCAGTGTTTCAGGGTTTGAACACTCTGAAAGCAAAGCTAGATATGGTTGCACAACTTCAGGCTGCCACAGCAACTCCATACCTTGAATTGGACCAGATCGCTGTGTCTGGGCAGAGGAGAGAGGAGCTTCTTTCTTTTGTTTCTCTGTATTTTCTCCATCTTTCTTCTTTTTTGTTGTACCAAAACAGCCCAAGCTGTCTCCCACTAATGAATTATCACAATATTTACTACATAACACATTTGTAAAATTACAATTTAAAGAAAAAACAATTATGGCATCTTTTATGGTGTTTTTAAAATCTAATTTACCTTAGCACTAGCTGTAAAACTTAAAAGGTTGTCACTGTTAAAAGTGACAGAAGACAGCAAATGTCATAAAAACAAAAGACAATGGTTGCTACTGTTGATATTTTTACCAAACTAAGTTAAAGTCAAATGGCATTAAATAAGATTCTTCTCTTTAATTGATTAACTAAAAGTAGGGCGGCTAAAAGTAATCTACCATTTAATGACATTCCTAAATTGAGATTCGTTACCTTTCATTGGTCCACTACGAGTGTGAGAAGGTTGTAGAATTCGTTTATCATATTCTGGATCTTCAACCTCTTGACAGCGAAATGAGAGGTTTCTCAAGACACAAACACAATTTTCCACACTCTTGTTATCCATATCATTCTTTCCAATGGCAGCCTTTACCAGGAAAAGTAGTGCTTCCACAAGACCTTCGCACTCTCGCATTTTTCTTCTCGAGTATTCTCCAGCAGAACTGATGTTTCTGAAGGAACATAACAAAAAAATATATATCACATAATAAGTTAAATAGATGGGTAATTAGTGTAATTTTCAAATCAATTAATTCTCAGACTCATCACAATCAGGGTGTTCCAATCAGTATCATCACTCTTTCATATCCACCATATTATGACCATTGAGTTAAATAGCCCTTCAGCTGTGTGTATATTAATCACTCTTATACTGTTCAATCAGTTCCACTTGTGGAATTACTTGTCCATGTTAATGAGGAGAACATGGCAGACCCCCAGCATATGAAATCAGGTATGCTAGGTAAGTTTAAGCACTTTTCACCCAAATAGTTTTTTTTGTTTTCAAATAGTGATGAAATAGTCTTATGTTAGTTTACAGAGTTATACAACACAATTTTATTGAAAATCTAATTGTGATATTTGTGAATGCTGGGGTTGCTATAATGAGCTGCATGCTATTACTTATCTATGCTGTTTCCACATGTAATATATTTAGGAAATTTTTAAGGAAAATTCTAAATATTTTTAAAACTTCGATGGATTAATTAAGTTACATATTATGAAAAAATAGTCTTTCAAGGTTCAATTTGCATTTCCTCAAAACAGTCAAATAAATGAAGAAAATATGTGGAAAACTGTGTGACATGGTCAGTGCTCTTCATGTTTTATTGGTCACACATAATTGCTTAATTAGATATATTTATTATAACTTTCCTTAAGTTTTATTTCAACTGAGTAAAAATTGGTGCTACATAAATTCTAGTACACAACTAATTTTTAACAATTGACACCTAAATCAATGATATAACGCTATTTAATATAGTTTGTTTCATAAATGATTTACTGTAATTGAATAATAAAATAAACTAAATGCAGACTATCTTCTCCTAGCTATAACTTTGTCAAGTATTAAAAATTCTGATTGTGTAGTAAGTATGTAAAACTCATAATGCAGCTATACACAGTGATCTAAAGTGATGCAAAATGATTGTTTTATTTTAGTATTCTTTGAATTTAATTTCAATACTTATCTCTGAAGTCATAAGCTTCCGCGCGACATATTTCCTAGCTAAATGTTATAATAAATGGTACTTTGTCTTCCTTTTTATTGCCTGTTTTCTAAATAGGAATTATACAATTTAAAAATTTTTCTACTAACACTAAGTTTAATTAGACAATTACCAATGGTCACTACACATAACTCTAGTTTAAAGTTATTTTACCGTTTTTTTAATGGCTTAAAATTAAAACATATTTCATGTTCATGGCTTGTATTTACCTTAGAATTCCACTGGCATTACGAAAAACAGTGGACCAACAAATTTCCTGGACTCTTGGTTGATCAGCAGGATCTCTATGGCAGTCCCATCCAGAGTGTGGAATTATTACATGATTAACTATTACTGTTAAGCCATCATCAATGATAGAACGCTTGATATCCTAAACATAAAAAAAAAAGAATAAATAGATTATTAGTATATAAACAATTGATTGACTTTGATGTCATATAAATTTTTGTTTCTACTAAGTAAAATTACTGCCATTGAAATAAGGGGCTAATAAAGAAAAAGATGGAGTACTCTTGTAATAAAAAAGGTTTCCATCATGACATATAACTAGTACATGTAATATTATCTTAATTTTTACCATGTCTATTTCAACTTTAAAATTATGTGCAGTGAATACATAAGTATACATATATGAATATAAAAATGTGTTTTGCTCACAGAATCATGACAGATGTTGTTTTTATTAGCTCATCATCAAATAATAGAAACAACATGGTAATTTAGAAAATAAGTATTCAAGTAAAGTTTTTTCATATTAAAAAACATGTTGGGTCTGGCCAACTTTTGAACACAAGACTCTTACATTTTACTGATGAATTATCCCTATTCAAATAATTTTAATAGGAATTTTTGAGGTTCATTCAGCTTTTACTGATACAATATTCTATTGACTATTTTCTCATGCTATGTCACTACAAATAACATACAGCATCACAGTTTTTACAATGTTAATCTATCCTTGAAACCAGAGATTATTAACATACTACAACATTAAATTTAAACAATAACTAAAGTCTGTTGATATTTTAAGTTCCATTAACAACTATTACCTAACATTTCATTAATTAAGGGATACCTTTAAAAATGAATAAGACCTGTCATAAATAACAATTGACATAAAAACATGGTCAAATACACATACATATGTAGGGAAAGTTAATATTTTCCTAATCTAAAAATATATACACCTGGAAAAAAGTTAAGCACCCCCGGGTTTTTTTCAAGTGA